TACTGATTGTGCTGCCTGGATTGGGGCCCGAGCACCCGTACCTGAAAGCACACACCGTCCCCATGGCTCCCCTGAGAACCGCCTTCACCTCCCAGGAGGCTGTTAGGGGAGGGGAGTGCGGCCCCTCTTACTCTGGAGAATGCGAGAACTCCTCCTCTTTGCTGGACTGGCCTCAGTCACCTTGAGCCCAAGGGGATTTGTGCTACTGGATGTGCCCTAACATTGTCCTCAATGAGCGAATCATCCCCAAATCGTGGAGTTGGCTTTTTCACGCTCTGGTGACGAGAAATGAGGACCTCGGCCGGGACCCTACTATGCGCTTAAGCCACATGCCCGTCCCTTGAAGGGAGAGGCGGTTATGACTAGCGGATGTCCCCAACTGTGTCTTTCTTGCTTGATTCTAACATGGCCCCTGGACGGGATGGGGTAGGCGGACGGAAGATGTATTTTCGCAAGTCGTTTGTACAATATTTGTTAGAATGGCCAGTTTCTCCTCCTGTCTCAAGGCAAGGGCTCATGCAATTAATTTAGTCAATGAAATAGGATGATTTTTCCCTGCAGTTCTGTTTCTAAACTTCCTTGGGTTCGCGGCATTTAAGCCATCTGCCTCATTAAGCTGGAGATGCAGAAGAGAGCGTTTGCAGAATAGGCACATTTGTGATTAACACAAAAATGTCAGGATTGCATCGTCCTGGTCCTTTGCCCTCGGTTTCTCCTACTTAATTATCTCTTTAATGAGCAACTCGCACACAGAAAAATAAAAGCAAGGAACAGTGTGTGTCCAAGGGCCTTTGGGGAGCATCAGCGGACGCCACCCGGCTTTGTGCACCCGGCCTGTGGCTTGGCAGAATTTCTTTGAGTTGCCATCATTTGCTGCGGGGTGGAATTGAAAGGAACTAGCATTGGCCCACACACCCCAGAAGTTTGTCCCTCCAGCCAGCACGTTGTGTAGCCGGAAGTCATCCTTAGTCCGAATTCTCCGAAAAGCGACGAGCTCAGTGGAAGTCCTCTGGCATTTGCCGATGGAAGTGCCAGAAATGTTTTCTTCTCAGCCCAGCTGCAGGCTGAGCCTCTACCCCATATTTTCTGTCTCTCGCGTCCTGTGCTGGCCAGACCGAAGCTGTGCTGTTTCCTTTGGCTCTGAGGGCAAGTCCAGTAATGAGATAGACCCAAAGACGGGTGGGAAGGGGCAGCAAGCCGAGGCCTCCCTTGCCTGGTCACCGCTCACCAAGCGTTCGGGTCCGTCGGACAGTGCAGGTGGCGTGACTTTGCACAGCATGTGGCTGTGTCATCCCCGTCCTTTCAGGGGATTCCTCCGGGTTCCGAGAGAAGATGGGGTGCTTCTGCAGGGCCGTGGTGCTGTTTGTTCATTTCTGTCCAGCATGCTTCCTTCATGAGCCTTTGCTGCAGCCAGCTGTTTTCCTGAGGCCATGAACTGATGACCCTGAATCCCGTGGCCAGCCAGGTCTTGGGGGGCCACTGCTTACTTCTGCCTGTGCCCCCAGAATTCTGCTCCTCCCAGTGACGGCGCTCGCACCCTGATTGGCTCCCTCCCCCCAGCCCTGCAGCACAGACCCAATTGAGCAGAAGCACCCACAGACTGCATCGCAAATGGTGCCTATTTTTGCCACCAAACCATCTGCTGGACACTTACTCACCATCCCATCCGGCGAATCAGGTGGTTCCTTATCAAGTCACTTGTGAATCACCTCATTCCAAACTCGCACCTGAAATTACTTTGCTGGCTGCTGAAGACACTGGAAAATTACAAGCCCTTGAGCGCTGGCTGTCTTCCTCCTTTTCTTCTTCTTTTTTTTTTAATCCTCAGCAGACCTTTGCATTTTCAGGCTCTGGACTAGCTTCTGAGTTGATTCACGGGGTGCCGTGAGATCTCAGCATGCTGGAGGGGGAGGGCTGTTGGAGGGGGCCACTCGTCCAGGGCCTCTGATGTGGAGCAGACGGGGGGCTGGAAGCCAGGCCTCTGGGCCCTTTCGCCCAGTTTTCCCTGAGCAGCTGTGCCGCGCACCTGGGCTGTGTCCAGGGCTGGTGGCAACTCCACACGCCGAGGGCTTCGTGGTGGATGAGACTCTTGTCGTGACAGAGTCTGCAGCGCACCTGCGTCACATTGGGTGGGAGGTGTCTGCAGGCTGCTGGCAGGCCTGGAGGAAAACACTCAGAAAGGCAAGGAAGAATCGTTTAGGAGAATGACACTTAGTTAGGGGTGTAAGTCCCGGCATGGCTGCAGGCCCCAAAGACATCGGGGGTCCTCCTGAGAAACGAGGCTGGGGAAGCCAGTAATGGGGACAGGCTGTCCTATCAGTCGGCTTCCCGCAGACCCAGGAGTCAGCGTCCAGCTCCCACCCCGGAGGGAGAATGCCAGCGTGCCCCACGGTCAGTCCGAGCTCGGCTGTGGAGCGCCTGCGTCGCCATGAGCCCGCCCCTCCCCGCGCCATCTGGTCCCCCGACAGCCACCTACCCCCCAGGCTCCCACACCCCCCTGCCTTGCTTCCTGTCCTCGCTGTGAGCCTTTCCTCCCGTGGGCCGTCATCCCTGGGCATTAGTCCAGCACATGTTGTTCTCTGCTGGGTTCTAGGCGCTCGGTTTGGTTTCTCAACGCGCTTTCCGGCCCCTCAGCTGCCTTCTGTCACTGTAGACCCACGGAGCCGTGAATGGCACACACCTAATAATGGCCAGTTGACTCGTATTGTGGGATTATAGAATTATCATGATCATTATTTCCAGAACAGATCTAGAGGGAATTCGTTTACGCTACACACAGACCGTGTACGAGAAAGACCCACTTGAGCTAAGAGCCACTCGGCACCGCGATGGAGCTTGTGGTTCCCCAGTACTCGGACTCGTGACACTTGACACGTGTCTGCTCATGGCTTGTTTTTAAAAAATCAGTGGACTTGTTCTTCCTAGAGTAGATTTCAGATCCTGGAAAACTCATCCATAGTTAAAACTAATTCGCTAAGACGCTTGTGGGATGGGACAGAATAGTGAGTGTTTCTAGTGGAAACCCAAACAGTTCTGTTTCAGTTCCATTGGTGATGAGGTCATTTTGTTTTTCTGCCACGTGGATGAAATTGCATCCTTCCTTTAGGACTGGGGGGCACGCTGGACCTGGAGTTGATTCTTCCTCTGCCCGGCTATCTGTAGGCATCAGTAGGCATACACATAGCATGCACACAGTAGGCCTGAGTATGTAGTATACACACAGTAGGCACAAATACACGGTATGCACACAGTAGTCATGTATATGCACAGTATACGCACAGGTGTCTCCTACAAGCTGAGCTGGGATTCTCTGGGATCCAGCCTCCAACACAGCTTGCTCCCTCACTGGGTTCTGCCTGGATGTACCCTGTTTCCATGTAAATTGATTTCCCCAGGTTCTCTCGTTCAGATCATCTTAAAGTAATAACCCTCAGCAGTACAGTAATAATTCAACCCAAAGCACTTGTTAGGTTCATAGAACTCAAATTTGTGTCCCAAAACTTTTGTGTCCAGGCTGGGCCGTGACCGATCGATTCTGCCGTGCTGGGCCTGGTGGTCGGCAGCAGGCCCTCCTGAAGCCCGTGCAGTGAGGGCCACGCAGGGCACAGTGGAGACCTGTCACAGCTGCCGAAGACCAGTGTCCCCAGGGATGCACTGGCTTTCCTGGCAGCCCCCGCCGTGCCTGCTTGTCGCTGGACCCCACTCCCTCTGTCGCCTGTTCACGTCTCTGCACTTTGTTTTCCCCTAGAGGAGATTTTGAAGACCCACATCGCCCACTGGTGGTCTCCGGATGGTACGAGGCTCGCCTATGCCACCATCAACGACTCCCGCGTGCCCATCATGGAGCTCCCGACCTACACGGGCGCCGTGTACCCCACCGTGAAGCCCTACCACTACCCCAAGGTAGGCGAGAAGCAACGGGGACACTGCGTTGTCCTCGGCTCCACCCAGCCAACCGAACGCGGGGCTGTGATAATCAGACGTGTTAGGACCCGTGCAGCAAACAGCGCGAGACCCATTAGTTCCCATTATGCTGCATTGAGTTCCTGCCGGGCAGAGCTCAGTTTCTTGGCAGATCTACTTTATTTTAAATAATTGAACCGCCGCTGATCTTTTGTCTAACCCTCATCCAAACCAAAATAAATACATTCCCCCCGCTTTGTGCTTCAGTGGTAACATAAACTCACACTGCCCACTCTTGGGGCACCATCGCCTCAGTCCCTTTTTAGGGTTCGGCTTCTGAGAGGCCAGAGGGGCTGGTGTGCAGCTGGCCCCGGGTCTGGGCTGGACTGCTGTGCTTGGTCATGTGGTCACGTGTCTAATCGCTTCCCAGACCAAGTAGCCAGGAGAGCCATGGCGGCTTTGTTAGAAAATTAGACCACCCCAGCGTTGGGGGCGGAGGGAGATTAGCGCCAAAACCTGTACGTCCCACTCAGGTGGAGAGAGCTGATGTCTGAGAGAGCGGACGCAGCTCCGTGGACACACATGGGCAGCCA